ATCCGCCTCAAGGTTGGATATGTTGTGCGTTCAGAGATGCTCTTCTGCATACCTCGGTTGTAACGAGTGGTTATTTGAGTTATCGTTGTCTTTATATCAACTCGAATCAGTCTCCTTTGACCTCTGGCATCAACAAAGCATTTGCGCCCACAGAACTGCCGCTTATTGGATATTTTCTCTTTTGTTGGACGTTCAAAGTCACTAAAATCATCTTCTACCACATTCTGATGCTTGGTTTGAACTGCAGCTGATCGTGTTGACCATGTTGCTGCCATTTGTTTGGCTGATTAGAAAGTTGCGTTAACAAGCAGTTGGACAGGTGTACCTAATAAAGTGGCCGGTGAGTGTATGGCTATCATCTTAAAAAACAGAACTTATGTGCACCTACACGTTTCTGCAACTTGCCTTCATCACGAACATGATAGTTGGTATATCTGGAGTTCATTTGAACACTTAGTACGTCACGTGAGATGATTACATAACTAAACAATACAGAAAATCATAACACTCAAGCAATAATGTCAAATAAATGGTTATTTGCAATACAGTAAAGGGAGAAAAACAAATACAAATTATATATATATAATGTATATATATATATATATATATATATATATATATATATATATATATACACACACACAGTTGAAGTCACAATTATTAGCCCTTCTGTTTATTTTGTTGCCCAAATTCTGTTTAACAGCGAAAAAAATATTTTTCAACACATTTCTAAACATAATAGTTTTAATACCTCATCTCTAATAACTGATTTATTTTATCTTTGCCATGATGACAGTACTTAATGTTTAACTAGATATTTTTCAAGACACTTCTATACAGCTTAAAGTGACATTTAAATGCTTAACTAGGTTAATTAAGATAAATAGGCAGGTTAGAGTAGATAGGCAAGTTATTGTATAACGATGGTTTGTTCTGTAGACTATCAAAAAAATATTGCAGCATTAAACAACCTTTATATTACACTCTGAAGGAAAAAAGCAGAAAAATGTATAATGCATTTGTTTGTGACCTCCATCCTGCTGATTCAGGTAAATTGAAAAATTAGCTGTTCCCTGAACATGAGAAAGCAGCAGGACTCGCTGCTCTTTTCAATAAAAAGGTTAATTTTATTACTACTTCTTGCCAAAACAAACATTATCTTTATGATAAAGTACATTTTAAGGGATAGTTCAGCCAAAAATTACAATTTACTCCCCATTTACACACAAATTGTTTCTAAACCTTTAAGAGTTTCTTTATTCTGTTGATTAATAAAGAAGATAACTTGAAGAATGTTCAAAACCTGTAACCATTGCCATGACTTTCATATTAGGAAAAGAAATAATATGGAATTATTACAGGTTTCTGGCTTTATTTAAAATATTTTATTTAGTGTTTAACAGAAGAAAGAAGTTCAAACAGGTTTGGAACAAGTAAAAGGGCAGTAAATGATGACAGCATTTTATGTTTTGGGTGAACTATTAATTTAAATGTTTTGCTGAATTTTTATTGTGTGTGTTTTTTTCTGACAATTTATTTTCCTCCTCCATTTGTCTTGCGTTGAAATGCAGTTTTGCAATTGCGTTTTCAGATGGAAAAACATATGTTTATGAGTCTTTGATTGGAGCTAAAATGTAAACAAACTTGTGTTGCTGGGCAGCTTCATCACTGCAAATGAGCCTTGATGAATCTGGACATTGCAAAATGCCACAGAACTAACAAGGACTGACTTGCAGTGGAATGTATTGGCTGGTGTACATTTCTCAAAGAAATCCTATTATAGCTACTCTTAACCCTTGTGTGCCAATTTAAAACAGTTACATGTAGTGTAGGTTCACAGAGGACAAAATATTAATGTACAAAATATGAAAATATTGTATTTTATGCACTTTTTCCAGAATGCTAACGTGTTAAATTGTTTTGGATGCTGATATAATTAATAGCAGTTGGCTGTTGAAAGGATTAGCATCAGGACTGCTGTTATAAACTGTTTTCTCTGTGTTTTCACCTGCTAATAGTGTAGTTCAGGTCTATGCACAACACTGGATGTGTGGCTGCTGGTGTCATGTGTGAAATTCCAGTGATTGCTGTTGTCTCTTTGTGTTGTTTTGGTCTTCGGCTGGCTATTTTAAGAGGTTAGCATTTGCACTCTTTACGATCCTTCATCTACAAACACAAATCAACTAGCTGGGATTAAAACAGTGTGAGATGTAGAAGTTTTAGGTCTGAGTCACTTGCGAATTAGTCTGCTGTGTGCTGTGAAGCCGTGTGAGCGCTGTGAATCATCACACTTTCAGTTGTGTTAATGTGCCTGAGTTGAATTCTGCTTTTAAAACACCTTTTTTTTAAATGAAAACTAACCATATACTAATGCATTTCTTGTCCTCTGGTGCAACATTTCTTTTGGCTGACATCACTAAAGCAGTCTAGATTCTAAAACACTTTTTACAGTCCAATCCACTGCAGATGCATACAACTTGGTTGTAAAAAATACATTGGCACATAGACAAAAAGACTACAGATGGAATTTAAACTTAGACTACAAAATGTGTGCTTCATTAACTGACTAATGTTAATACACAGCCTTCTGAATCTAGTTTATAACTTTATCATTTATTAACAACCTCTTTTGTTAAATAGAAAACCCAACATAGGCTCATTCTGAAAACGTAACCCTATATATATATATATTTCTGGAGATCGTAAATTATGTAGCCAGAGGTACGTATGGCTGCATTACATCTTTAAAACTAATGCTACAGGGCAGTATGATACCGTTTCTTTTCGTGCTTTCCAGTTGACTGCTTACCTCTGTGTGGACGATTTTTCTGCTGTTACCAGTTTGTCCAGTAGCTCAACATGTATGCCGACGTACTTGAGAAGCAGAGAGGAGTTGACCACAGTGATATGGGGTTCGAGTTTGGTAAAGAGTGGTTCCAGAAAGTGGGTAAGACAAAAACAGAAGCCAAAAAATTAAATAAAGAAGTAAATAACAGGGTGAGAATGTGGTATAATCTGAAAACGTGGTAAAAATCAGGCGAGGGCTTTTCTTTTTCTGGATTGCTTATTTAAACTGTTGGTTGGGTTTAGGGAAGGTGGTGGGCGGGTACGTTGACAGCCGCCTCTTGGGAACAGTGGATTTGCATGAGAACAGCAGGCGCTAATGGCACTTGCGAGAGAAATTTGAGATCACAGAAAGTGTACACAGCTGTGTCTGGTAGACGTTTTTTTTTTTTGCAAAAAATAAATACTGCACAAAATATTACCTCCTGGGACATATATGATTCTCTCCAGAAATGTATATAGGGGTACGTAATCCGTACATGGCAAGCAAACTGGACAAACTGGTTACAGCGGGTAAATCATCCATACAGAGGTAACAAGATGTAAAAAGGAAACGTCATCATACCGCCCCATAGCGTTTGTTTTAAAGATGAAATGCAGCCATACGTAGCTCTGGCTAAATAATTCATTAACTCCAGAAACGTAAATAGAGCTACGTTTTCAGAATAAGCCTGGGTTAAATTAAAAAAAACATGTTTTGTTTTAACTCGGGTTCATTCTGATTGCGTACCCCTATATACATTTCTGGAGAGCATCAAATATGTCCCAGGAGGTACATTTTTTTGCAGTTTTTTTATAGCATTTTCACAAGCTGAGGTAAAATTAAAAATATAAAAGATCAAACTAATATGGTTTCAATAAACAAATGAACACGTAATGTTTTTATTTTAATGTGTTTATATTAATCAACAAAATATTATTCAAATATTTTATTTATTTATTTTATTTTATAACTTTTTTATTTTATTTTATTTTTATTTTTCCCAAAAATAAAGTTTGGTTTAACTTGAAGAAATTACAACAGAAAAATATTACTCTTCTTGAGTATGCTTCTCTACATAAAAATGATACAATTAAATATTAATAGAGTTTTAGAAAATATAACAGAACTTGAGAAAAAAGTAAAACTAATTTCATAGCGTTCCCGAAATCTAATTTTTGGTGTAAAAAAAGTCTTTGTTTACTAACATGTATTTTGACCATTAAAATGGAATTCGGAAGAAAAGAAAGTCAAATTTGTTTAAACCCATATAAATGATTATAAACAAAAAAAAAAGAAATGTATATTAAAATAAAAAAACATCAAATGTGAATTATCGCACATATGAAAATGTCAAATTATATATATTTTTTCACTTTAAATTACACAATTTTTTTTTTAAACTTAAAAACTAAATTAAATAATAAAACAACTATATAGTTAATACAATAATTAATATCATATTATTAATAATATAACAACATCTATTTAATATTGTTCATTTATTCATTTTCTTTTCAGCTTAGTTCGTTTATTAATCTGGGGTCGCCACAGCGGAATGAACTGCCAACTTATCAAGCTTATATTTTACGCAGCGGATACCCTTCCAGCCGCAACCCTACTCTGGGAAACACCCAACACTCTTGCATTCACACACATACGCTACAGCCAATTTAGCTTATTCAATTCACCTATACTGCATGTATTTGGACTGTGGGGGAAACGGGTGCACCCAGAGGAAACCCACATGAACACGGAGAACAAACTTCACGCAGAAATGCCAACTGACCTTGCTGGGGCTCGAACCAGCAACCTTCTTGCTGCAAGGCGATTGTGCTACCCACTGTGCCTCTGTGACACCTCAATTTAATATTATTTAGCTGAAAAATTAACAAGAAGTATAAGGAAACCTATTTTTTGTTCAATAATAGTTTTTTGCGTAGCATTTCTTTCAGTCTTTGACAATTAAAATTGTTCATTTTTATGTATCACTTTTAGTAGACTTTCAATATAGCACAAGAGTTAATCTAACAGTTATTTCCTGTATGTGTTGCAGTACAAATCAGCTTATCTGTTACACAGTAAAGAGCGGTTTGGGCTTTCCAGAGAACATCGTAAAATCCTGAAGCAGTCAGGTTTTAGGACCTTTGGCAGCTCGTCCACAGAGGAGGCTCTCAGACTGAGCACTTCTGCCTCAAACTACCACAGCAATCAATTTCCCAACAACAGGAGCCGCTTCACACCGCTGACAAGAGCACACTGGTCCACAATTCAGGATTAAACCCTGGAGCAAAAGTGGAATATTGAAACCTAAAATCAAGGCATCATCTGAGTAACTTTCTAAAGTCATAAGAGAGCGAAGGAGGAGGAGGAGGAGAGAGGTAGGACACTTTAATGACATTTGCATGCATATCACACTTAGTGCATATACGTTTTAAAGTAATTTGCATTGGTAAAAATAAAACAACTGTTGATTTTAATGTTTGCAATGGATCTCTTTGAAGTATTAGACTCATTATTGTATTCTACATACAGAAAAGTTGACCATTTCTAAAACCTGACTGCATGTAATTGCATACACTCTACTAATGCTGGGTTGTTTCAACTCAGTTTTGAATCAGCTATGGACATGCACAAGTGTTTTCAGGTCGCAATTTATATTATGTGGCTTTAAAAATGATGTACTGACATCAAGAAATAAATGCAATGTACTTATTGTGCTCATATTAAATAGTAAAACACTATGAATGTGAGAAAGTAAGTTTGTAAGGTCAGTTTAAAGGGATATTTAACCCAAAATTTAATATTTGTTCCCTGTTTAGACACCTCCAAGTGGTTATCTAATGAGTTTCTGTATTCTGTTGAACAGAAAAGAATATAATCTGACTTCCATCGAAAAAAAACTTATACAATAGAAGACAATGGTTACCAGTTTCCAACATATTTCAAAACATCTTCTTTAGGGTTTAACAGAACAAAGAGGCTTAGGTTTGGAACAAGTAAATGCTTAATAAATGATGGTAGAATTAAAATTTTTGTTGAACTATTCCTTTGAGCGTAATGGGTGTAATTAAAAATGTAATTACTGAAATGAACATGACCCTAACCTCAACCTTATTAAGTAATAACACAAGAAATACCAGAAGTAATAATATAAGGATTTAAACTATTATGTAAAAACATCTATGTATACATAATAAATGCATTATATCAAGATTATTATTTTAAAAGTGAGTATATAAAGTGGGAACAGGGTGCTTTGGAAGACGTATGACAATACCTGAAACTCCAGGGTGACCAACAATCCTAATTGTCCCTTCTTTTGGGGGCTTAAAGGGGCTTTCAAACTTCAGGATCATCAGGTTACGGTTGCGTTTGGGGCCGTAGCAGTTCTTTCAGCTGCGGCACACATGCACACATGACTCATATTACCTCCAGTCATACGCTGGTCGGGACGGAGCATCAGGTCAGACATGCCTTCCATATTTTTCATATCGTGAAGATCTGAACAAACTGTCTGTGCTCGTTTTTTTCTGCTTCTTCATGTTTTTTCTGTGTGTTATAAGGCAGACGTGACCGAAGCAGATCAGTTTCCTACATCACTCATTACTGATTCATGAGTACCAGTCATTACAAGGCATTATATGTTTGGGACAGACTGGTGTACTGTACACAGAGACGGGTTTGCGCATTCTTGGAAGGCCTGCTTTGACTTTTTGTAAGGACAGTGGAGCTTACATGCATGGCATTTTCTTTTGTTCATTCCAGAATGTTTTATCCTTCTATTTTAAGGATGTTTATGAAAGAACTAGTTCACACACACACAAACTTAACTTTTTCCATGCTATTATAATGAATGACTGGGACGGCGGGACCTACATACTCGGCAAAAAAGGCTTTTTAAGGCATCTTAATTATCAAGTTTTGGCTTAATTTACATTTTCATTTAATCATTTGGCATATGTTTCTATTTAAATTGACCTACAATCTGCATGATATAACTAATCAGAGCAGGAAAAGAACAACATATAATAAAAATGTTTTCACAATTTTTAGTTGATCTAAATATATATTGGTGGGTAGTTGTTGCATTTTCACAATACAACTTAATATAATTAATATTGTCATCATTTAAACTGCAGTAAATAGTTAAACATTTTGTCTTGTGTAGATCTCTTGTAATAAAGAGATCTCTTGTAATTTTGAGCCAAATCTCCAAATGAATGTACTAGACTTTCTTTCAAGCATACACCAATACATTACAGATCTTATAATTGAAAAAGAAAATTGTAAAATCATTCATAAATACCGCAGACCTAATTTAACAAGTGGCTATTTTAGTAAATAGCAACATTTTTTTACCATATATTTTTAAAAATCTTAAAACATGATTATTTTGTCAATGAAATCTATGTCCTCTGATGTGACACTATTGTACACTCACCGATCAGAATTTGGCATCAACAACATGAAAGCATGGATCCATCCTGCCTTCTATCAACCCTTCTGGCTGGTGTTGGTGGTGTAATATTTTCTTCGCACACTTTGGGCCCATTAGTACCAACTGAGCATCGTGTCAATGCCACAGCCTACCTGAATATTGTTGCTGACCATCTCCATCCCTTTATGACCACAGTGTACCCATCTTCTGATGGCTACTTCCAACAGGACACACGCCATGTCATAAGAGCGAAACATCTCAGACTGGTTTCTTAAACATGATAATGAATTCACTTTACTCAAATGGCTTCCCCAGTCACCAGAACTCAATCCAATAGAGCACCTTTGGGATGTGGTGGAATAGGAGATTCGCATCATGGATGTGCAGCCGACAAATCTGCAGCAACTGCATGATGCGATCAAGTCAATATGGACCAAATTCTCTGAGGATTATTTCCAGTACCTTGTTGAATCTGCCACGAAGGATTAAGGCAGTTCTGAAGGCAAAAAGGGTCTAATCCGCTACTAGTAAAGTGTACCTAATAAAGTGGCTGCTCAGTGTATGCGAATTTAAAATGAGCAATTCCACTGAAAACTTTAATTAGTTGATGGACCCGATTCAAGATCATTGTACTGAAGCCCATGACATGCACCTTTTTATTTTTTTGGAATCATTATAAAATGAAGTTTTGTTATGCTTTAGTTTGACACTCCTTTTTATTGAAAATGTCCAACCAGTCAAAATAGCATTATATGAAGATAAATGTCCAACAATGACGATAAATGGCTCTCTATTCGTTTATTATTAGCTGTTGTTTTCTTACATTTTACCATGTTACACCATGGGACATTTTTACGGTAAAGTTCAGTAAAAAAGTAATAATGAAAAAAAGGGAAAGAATTGATAAAGTTAATATGACCCTTTCTTAAAGATCAGACTTCAAACAACTGTACATAAACAGACCTGTTTTCTCTTCAAAAATTATCTTTTACAAATTTTTACTGCCTATTTGTCAACTACCCATATACTGTAAACAGTCAAGCCTGAAATTATTCATACCCTAGGGGTATTTGTTCCCTCCCCCTGCCTATACATTTGTAATGAAGAGAAGCTGTAGTTTCAAAGCTTCAAAAAGAAAAAGGGTTTATTTCCAATTTGTACATTTCACTACACTTTAGGTCATTGTTGAATTTTAATTTGCAGTTTCTGCCCAGTCTTCAAACAAAGTAGTCATATGACTTGCCACTTAGGGTTTACAGAAAACAGTAACGATGTTGCATTTTCCACTTAGTTTGCCAACCCAGGCTCATTATGGATACATACCCCTGTATACATTTCTGGAGAGCACGAAATACGTCCCAGGAGCTGTTTCTTTGCAGGTTTTGTCCACCAGAGGCCGCTGTGTATGCTTTTTCAGATCTTGAATTTCTCTTGCAAGTGCCATTTGTGCTTGCTGTTCTCGCGTAAATCCACTAGAGACTGCTGTCGACTGACTGACTGACTGACCCACCCTTGACTTGTATAGTAGAAAAAAAAGCAGAATAACAAATCTCAAATAGGATTGGAAAAAGTAAATTATAAGTGAATTTTCATTTTCGGGTTAACAGTGTCTTTAAAAGTCAAAATCATTTTGTTCAAATAAGTAATAATTAAAATAATTAGTCTTTTTCAAACCAAATTCTGCAGATGCTAGTTAAACTCGACTTAACATGACTTAAAACAATACTATATTGATAATTTTAAGAGTTTAAAGGTCCCTTGAAATGCTTTGAAATGTGCATTTTTAGTCGATGTTTGACGTGATCTCAACCAAAACACGAAGAGAAGGACTGGTGTAGCACCTCCCCTTTTTTTGTAAACCAGCCAATAGCGTTTTGCTTTATCAGGCAGTTTGAGTGGTTGAGCTTAAGCACATCAAATAAGGCATGTCAGGCACTAGAGAACATTTGATTGGTCAAGATTTGATGAGAAACTAAAATCTATTTAAGCGGAAGTTACAAGCCTTACATTTATTCATTCATTCATTATCTTTTCAGCTTAGTCCCTTTATTAATCTGGGGTCGCCACAGCGGAATAAACCGCAAACTTATCCAGCATATGTTTTACACTGTGAATTTTGTCAGTGTATTGGAGCATACTAGTTTATTTATACATCTTAATAAACTAACAATACTGATACTAACATCTAAAACACGTTATTTTAATTTCATGAGACCTTTGAGTCTCTAAACAAACCTACATTTCCCACTGTTTGGCCAGATGTTTATTGAGGTCATTTGCCACATAGAAAGCCAGGCCTGTGATGTTCTCCAGACACTTGACATACATTAACTTCAATCTTTGAACACAACAGGTTGTCTTTTAGCCTTTAAAGATGATCCAAGTTCTCGCGCCATTTCTCATGTAGAAAGGACAGTGTTTGGGTAGGAGAAGTTGATCTGTACTAGTGACCTACTCAACAGGCTCTTTGGTCTACCAGGCCATGTAAACACACATTTAGGGAGCGAGAACAGAGAACATCTTGAATCGGAGATGTTGATGACCATGGAAACAGTTTGACATCTCACAGTCGTAAACAAGAAACACTGGATGCCACATGTTTGAGGGTCAGTGTTGGTTTTTCCCTCAGTGTTTTACTGTATTGTGGATTGAGCAAATTCAGCTTTGGTGAGCAAAAGATACTTTATTGAAGATTTTCTAGTAATTTTATCTGAAAAAAAGTAATTTTAGCTAAATAAGTGGGGCAAATCATCTAAAATCAGTCATTTATTGATTGATTTAGAAAGAGACTAATAGTTTTATATGGCATGGAAGCATTGAACTGTGTTATAACAAAGACTATAGAATACACAATACATGTCACTCATATGGATTTGAATGGATAAAGGTGTAATGGTCAATATAGCGAATGAAGCCCCGCCTACTAGTACAAGAGCCAATCATTGATCACTATAGACTGACATTTCTCCGGGGGAGAAGCTCAGACCAGACTTGTGTTTTTACTACAGTTTAGTGGTCAACAAACACTCTGTAATCTCAGCGAATACTTGCTTAACAGACATAAGAAATATATCCACATAGAGCTTGAAATTTCTACTTTAAAATGAACCCATTATACCTAAAAACTAATTTTTTTTGGTTTTGTAATCTGTATGAAAAGAACATAATGTACAGTCCATCCTGTCAAACGCACATCACATGACAGCAACTACTCAAACGCCCACAAACTTGTTAACAAAGAGTCGCTGTTAGTCACTGTCAAGACCAAGTTGTGAATTACCTCAGAAAAGCAGCGCGATCTGACGAAGCATAATCCAGAGGATGATAATGTGTAACACGGCCATAAATGAGATTGGAGTCTTTCTTTCCAACAGCGCATTAACTTGGGCAACCTGAAAAAAAATTGCTGATTTTGTTTGATACAAAGGTTTAGAAATTAAACTTATGAGACTGTTGTTGCTTAATTTTATTGGTGATTCCACATATGTAATAAATGTAATTGTAAGCTTGGCAAACAGTTTTGGAGAATTTGGTGTTTTCCTATTCAGACAGAATACCCGAGCATACTGCCCGAGAGGCATTTCAAAGATGACCACAGAGTGAAATGACTTGTCTTAACAAGGCTTTGTTTTAAATCAAAGGGGACAATAAAGTCCTGCTTAAAAATGGTTTAATAAGTGTTGAATCTTAAAAAAGGTAAATATAAAAACTACATATACATATATATATATATATATATATATATATATATATATATATATATATGTTATATATATGTTATATATATATTTAGCCACACATGTTGGTGTTTCGTAACATCAAATTTTATATATATTATATATAATATTTTCATTTTCAAATATTTCCCAAATTACGTTTAACAGGGCAAAGTATTTCTATACCATATAAGGTGCAACTTTTACAAAGGTACAAAAATAAGGAATATTATTTGTACCACCGTATACCTTTTTTTCTGAGAGTGTAAGATACCATACAGATTATTGAGCTGAAGCTTGACTACAAGATTAAATCACAAATCAAATCGCAATGTCTGTCAAAAAAATTGCAATTAGATATTTCCCCAAATCGCACAGCCCTATTATATGTAGTAAAATGATTGAGTAAAATGAGTAAGATGTTTTGGACATTTTTGTTTGCCTCAATGTAATGTCAAATTTTAACAGCTGAATTTGAACCACTGAATTTATGAAAGAGAATTTTGAACAGAAAATGGCTGTTTAAATATTATACGTCATATTTTTAAACAGAACTCAATA